CATTGCCGATCGCGAGAAGGTGGATCGAGGGGCGCGTATAACCTCCACGGTTGCTCGCAGTTAGGTCGGTTCACGTGCTCGAAATATCGCGGAAAGTCGTAATTAGCATGATTATCCGGCGTTGAACTTGGCTTGGCGAAAAGGCAGATACAATTCGTTGCACGTTGCATCGCGCGCGTATAAATTATATCAGCGCGACGCAAGTCGAATGAGCAAGCAGCGGTGGAATATAACTTGCCACGCCAACTTTTACCCGCGCGATTATTAATTGCTCCTCCTTCCCTCCGTTCCTCCCATCTTTTATATATATATATATATATCCTTTCCACGCGGAAAAGTGTGACGATCTTGGAAATTCAGGAGTCCACTCGGCTCGAAATCGGTGCGAAATCGTGGATCCCCTTCGATCGCAGAGAGATCGATGGTTTTATCGTTTCGAACGAAAATATAGGGTTTTTTCATACGGGCGGCTCGATGAATTCGCGAGTCCTTTTTTTCGTGAACGAAACAAACAAGCGAAAGGGATTGTCGAGGGGGTTTTCCTTTTTTTCCCTTTTTTTTTTTTCTTTTCTTTTTTCCCCTCTCTTTCATTCATTTTTTTAGAGACGCGATATTCGTAACTTTCACGAACTTAGCCACGTCGGTTTTCGCCGGCCTCGTCATCTTCTCGATCATGGGATTCCTCGCCCGTCAAATGGGGGTTTCGGTCGAGGATGTGATACAGAGCGGAGCGGGGCTTGCATTCATCGCGTATCCGGAAGCGGTGGTGCGGATGCCGTTGCCCAACGTGTGGGCCGTCCTGTTCTTCGTCATGCTGTTCATCCTGGGTATCGGGAGCCAAGTAAGTGAAAACGATTGATAAACGATTGGAATAATGGGAAGAATCAAAGGTTTATGAACAGAGATTATAATAATCGAAGCGAGAGTGCTCTTTTCTTCTTCTTTTCTTTCTTTTTTCTTTTTTAAAGAATTTCTTTTAAAAGAATGGAGAAGCGGTTTTTAAAGTTAAAGAGAGCGGGGAGAGAGAGAGAGAGAGAGAGAGAGAGGGAGGGAGAGAAAAGCATGAAAGAGACGAAAAGGAAAAGGGCGCACGGGAGGTAGAGAAGCGTGAAGACTTTTGAAAATGAAGAGCATCGTATTTCCATGTTGTTTAAAGTTTAAAGTATGGCCTTGTTCCTTGGCAAGCGCGCGAGAAGAGGTGGAGGGAAGGAGGGGAGGGGAAAAAAAAATTTTTCGTCTTACCGAGCCGGCTAAGAAGCCGCTATTCAA